TATGCATTTACCTTTTGGTCCTTATTCGCTTCTCGCAAAGATCCAGCGAGAGACGCCATGTAATAAATAATCAACGTCATGAAAATAATTAGTGGTATCACTGTACCAGGCGATACAACGTAATCGAGCAAGCTGAACAAAGATAAGGTTTTTCGATTTATATACTGTATGTTAAAAAAAATTCATAATTATTTTTATGATAATCAACAGAAAATAATTTAAATTTAAAATTTATGTTGTATTCTAAAGGCAGTCAAATGTTACTAATAAAGAACGGAGACGTACTCTTGAATCTGCCGTGGAAGTTCCGTTAACTTTGAGGTTGCTAAATTATAAATCTTCGGATAATCAGAAAATGGACCACAATGCCATGAAGGCTGGACGCGAATTATAGTATAACCAATTGATGATACGCTCACAAATAGCATAATCAATAACAGCCCGAAATAGAAGTTATTGGACCTGTAATATATCACAAGTGATTATGGCGAATAATTGTTGATTTAAAAAGGTATATTACAATATATTAAAGGAATTATTCAAATATAGTGCACGATATTCAATTGTTCATAAAGACTTTAAATATTTAATTTGTTGGATAATGAATTTTAATTTCAACCTGGAGGCTCTGAAAACCACTTTGTTAGGTACTTTACTCGTCAAAACTTCCCAGGAACGTAAATACATCAGAATGCTAAGCTTGAAGACGTGCAGTGCCGTCAAACCTGGACTGAAGAACATTCCCATCCAAACTATGCCTTGATTGTATACTAAATGGAGGATGTTTTCGGCTATCTTGAAGTCGCCGTGCTTCTCCAGTTTCCAACACCAGCACTTATTCACAACACGCACGAAAGCAGGACGGAAAAAAATCTTACCGAGAGTAGCTACTACGTTGAATATCTAATAAACAGCCGTATTTCAACAAATATAAAAATACTTTCTATCGATCAGATCGATTTTTCATAATCTTTGACGATAATTATAGACACAATTGCAAAACTTGCACATATATATTTCTACATATTTTAATCATCAAGCCTTAAAAATATTGAATACTTTTTCTGATGTATACTTAATTTTGAAACTCTTATTTTCTTCCACTATAAATATTCTATTTTTGTAATTTTTTTGGCTCGTCATTTTTAGATATTAATCCTTAATTAAATACCCTCACTAGAGACAAGCCAATGTAAAACCATAGGTAATATTTTAAAACGTAAAGAAATATATATTTAAGCACGTTCTCTCTAGTATTTGTATCTTACCAAATCCATAACAACGAGCTTGGTGAGTTCTTGCCCAACCATAGTTTCCCAACATAAGTGATCCAGACGACTACATAGGGACTTTTTGTGTTTTTGATGTAGTCGCTCTAAATAAATTAAGAAATATAAATAACTTCATCTTCTGTCAGAATCTGGAGAGCAATTAAATAAATAGATTTTATAAAATCATACCTAAATCTTTTTTAGATGACTCGCAAATTTTTTCTAAGCACTCTTTCATATAATTTATCTTTGAACTGAACTTCGTATGTTTATTGAATGGTGAAGTAGTAATGTTATTTTTCAGGATATACGTTAATGTGGCATCTGATATTGTAGATGTAACATGAAATGTTTTAACAAATGATATCCGGCTATCTGAAAATATTGAAATAATTATTGCTTTTTCGTTATCGAAAAATCATCAAAATCGATGGTCCTCGGTGTATCTGCGACAATGTGTGACATGTTATTTGATAACGTTGTCAGTCAATATTAGTTATTAGTAAATATCAGATCATTAATACATTATTTAAGACAACTTAAAATAGATTTGGAATGTTGCGTATAAAACGAATATTTAGAAAAATTGGAGCTGTGCCAAGAGAAATTATATATAAGTAAAATAATATAATATAATTATTCTAACAAACTTGGATAATTATTACTTAGAAGTATAAACTACAACAAACATAAAAAGTACAATATATCCTCACTTCCAGTGTCTTGTTCTTCATAAGGCGTGGTAGAGAACTCGTCACCATTACCCATATCCGATGTTTCGTACTGGTAATTACCATAACTCACGTTATAATTGTTATAATCATTCGTATCATTGAAATCCTTACATAAAGTGTCGTTGTCCAAAGGATTAAGGGAGCAAGTCTCCTGCCTGACGAATGGCAGCGCTAAATAAAAGCAACAAATACTGATTAAATTTTCAGAAAATCGAAAAGCTTTATCTTTAATCATTCTGTGAGAGAATAAAATACATACACATATCCGTAAAACACATTTGCTATTTCCTGAGTTTTCGTAATTCGTTTTGCTATGAAAGTGAGGTTCTACTTTACGAATCATAGTTCATAATCGCTTTGAAGTTCAACAAAAAGGCAGACAAATAAGAAAGATAACTGTTTATTATATGATGATTTAAATGTTTCTCAAGACATAGAATAAATGAGAAATAGCAATATGTCTGTAGGAAATTTATGTTTAAATATTATATATCATACTTGGCTCCGGTATCTCTTTTCTAGCATAAGAGTGGGTGACATTATTTAAAATAGGGTACAAAGCCATCAACGTCACAACTTGTTTGATTATCAGATTGTTACCGCATTGTACCACCTGATCTAGGCACATTTGTAATTTCTGTGAAGACAAGAAATACATCCACTGTAAGCACAGCAGGTTCTAAGTAAGTAGAATATCAACGCGGAGAGTCGAAAATAATGTTGCGTACCATGTACTTCATTATTCTAATTGTACGATAACGTACGATAACGATTTACGTACCATTAAGAATATATTGTCGAACAATGCGGTTATTAGCGAGTAGAGATTCAAAAGGTTTAAGGACATTATCCTGAAATAGGAATCGTTATACATGTGCCACTTGTACTTGCCCTAATAGCACAGTGCATTAGCTAAATATAGGCTAAACGTTGCCTAAACGTTGGTCCAATGTTGGTTATATTAGAAATGCATTGGCCGATATTGTCCAACGTAAAGCCAATATTGGCCAATATATGGAATAAATGTAAATATTACACGATAATAATTATATAATGTTAGATTTATATTGGAAGTGCCATTGGCCAATATTTAACAATGTAATAACAGTGTAATAATGTAAATTGGTCTAATATTGATACAATATTAAATCAATATTCCTAAATAGACATATTGGCTAAATAAGAGAAGGTGTCTATCTTACAATATTAGACCAATATTGGGAATACTAGATTTACATTAATATTGTGCTACTAGGGTGGTTGCGCAGTAAAGTTTACGCTTTTTACCGCGCCAGTTGTACTCGGAGCTGTTTCCTGGGGTGATACTTCTCGAGAGATCCAAGGATGTCGAAAAGTTTAGGGAAGATTTGTGCGATTAGAGATATCACAAATGTAAACTTGTTCGACGATGTCCGTTCCCCGATTCCATTTTCGACCTCGTAACCGGACCATTTAGCCATGCCGACTACGGTATATACCGACAATGCGAATAACGACAGCACCACTACGTTCATGAATATTCTTATTGTGATAATCCTCCAGCTGCAATACATAGTCAAATATACCGCGTACTCTGCACGCAATATACATATACCTCGAAATGCAACGGAGAGTTTAATGTTTTGACCAGCTTCCTTTTTAGAGAAACATTAGGAACATAATCATTCAATTAAGAATGATCAAAATTTCCGATCGGATCAGGTAGAACTTATATTGCAATACGTAAAATCATAAATCTAACAATAAGTACGAGAATTGCCACTGCATTTTGAATATAATATCCAATATTAAAATAATGTTAACAGAGCTCACATTTTTTCATTTTTTTGCGTCTCCACTTCTTCTAATATAGCCTCTTTGAAGCCCAGCGCGATGCTAGCTGTACGATCGTCAGCAGTTTTCGGATTATCGATCATGAAGTTCCATACCGTGAAGAGTTTCCTCGAAAAAACGTATTCGTCTTCCTTTTCAATCAGTATACTCAAACGCGAATTCTTCACCATTCTAAAACAAGGTACAACACTCACGTATTTGTTTTCTATATTGCGAGAGATAATTCCGTAAGCACATCTTCCTTCAAAAAATGACGTATAGTATGTCTCTTCTTCGGACACACCAATTTTTCGCGAATCTTTCTGTCAAACCGTGGAACAATGCGATTATCAATTCACGAAGTTTGCGAAAGAAGCTGTGCTGTGAAATGCAACATAAGAACAGATCTAGCCGATACTTGAGGATAATTGAGACGAAGCTGTACATGTACAGGACCAGATTGGTAACAAAGTATGCCAGAGGTAATTTGTAATAGCCATTGGAATCGTGACTGGTGTACCATCCGTAGAAGAACGGGGAATGTTTTAGCGCGCCCTCGAATTCCAACAAAGTTAGTAGGTCCGTTGACTTAGCGATCTCTTCATTCGGCGTCTTGTTCTCGCCGGCAAGAGTCGCGTTTGCAATCAATACCTAGCAAAGAATTTAAAAAATTCTGTTAAGTATCTCGTTAACACAGCAACCGACGGGCTGCTCGGAAGAAAACATAATATGATCTCTACTGATTAAAGTTACTTTACTTTAGGTATCGCAACAAATGCCGAATAAGTTACTGCGATGACGAGGTTGATGTAGAAGAGCCAACGGAGAAAAATGAAGTAAGACGCGACGGCGGAACCGAAGTGGGACTTTATTTCCATGATACGGACCTCCCAAGGTACGAGCCATGTTTGCAAATTGATCAGCCCATTTCGCAAAACCTGCCACTTCTAAACGCACGAAAAATTGCAAGCCTACTCGCTGCTGTAGACGTGTTACTATAAAATTTGTAATTTTATTAAATGTTTGCAGCATAATCGTTACCTTAGTTTGGAACAATAAGATGCGGGCTACGATGTTTCTAGTGCTGCGACTTTGAACGAATTTTTCCTGGAGAGCGTCTTCGTGTCGTCTGATATAAGCTTTAGTTTGCCGCACGAGCTTAATCTTACGTTGGAGAGGCCAAGGCTGCTGTTTTATTCCGCTCAGAATCTCTTTATGCTGTGTGAGATTCTCGGAGATCTGCTCCTGGCCACCACTCTCGTTCATTGAAATAGCCGTGCTGTTGAATTTATTACTATGTTTTAATTAACAGATGACAATAAGACTTCAGTATTCTAGTCGCCGTAGCAATTCCGTAATCGAGATAAAAACCGGAAAGGAGTTTGTTAGAAGAAATATTATAACGCGATGGGACGCTGAGAAAAAATTTCATCGGATAAACCCATTAAATAGTGTTTCCGATGGTTAATCTTTCCGATTACGTTTTCCGATTATATTATGAATACATCCGATAAAATTTATCCGATTAAATGCAGTTACCGATGAAATTTGATTGAAAAACCAATCATATTTTTCATTGAATATACAATTTAATTGGATATGTCCGTTTGTTATTATGTAATTGGATTATCCGATTATATTTAATCTGACATTTTTCTCAGTGTTATAACAAAGGATTTATCTCGGAACCTCATCTGGAATCCATTTACACAATTTTGAGAGAAGCTTCATCGTCGATAATAAAGTATAACCTTTTTTCCATAGTTATTTTTAAGATAAACTGAATTTTAAAATTACACCAAGAAAATATTCTAGATTGTAACAAACGTATGTAATTTTTGTATATATCGCTTAGCGCGGAACAGTATTCGCACGTTTCTTACAATCAGTGTAAAGAGGAGCAGCGTCAGTTCCTAGATAAAGAACCAGAACATGAGTAAACTTTATAGAATCGGCGAGATCTAGTTATTGCGTTATTTTAATTATATCATTAAATTTGTTCCAGCTTGCGCAATTTCTGTAATAAAATTATACTTGACGTAAATCTTGCAAATGAAACTCCACTTTAGCTCTCTAAAAGCCGCGAATACTAACTCTCCCAAGCTCATGGTGTAAATCGAAGATCGACAGCGTGTGATATCGTCGTACGGGGCCGAAAGACGTCGTTTCCGCAGATTTTGCCATTGTGTTGCGTGTCGTTGTTGCATAGTCGAACAAACTGACGCGGAGTAATCGTCCTCGTCGTCCGCGGTTAGTTTTTCTACCGGCGCCAAGTTTAGCGAGGTTCCGCTCGGACTCGCTTCTGGAGACGATGCTTTTTTAATGGAAAGCTGCCACAAGTTAACTATTGAAACACAGAATCAGCTTATCAAAAGAAATTTGACAGAATCGTTAGGTTTTCTCTATCGCATATCATTCGAAGGCTATTGATATTCTTGGTTAAAATAAATTTATTTTTACTGACCGACAGAGAGGCTCCGCATGTCGCCTAATTTCGTATCCATGCGTTCGCTCCGCGACTTTCGACCTTCTTTGACGAGATCCTCACCTAGCTGGAACTCGACAATACCAAAGATAATAAGTCAGCTGGTCAACGGTTGTAGACAAAAATAAGATTTTTAATAAAATAGAATACCTGCATAGCCGCTAATATTGGTGGTGTGGCTCTGAATCCAGAGGAACATAACATTTTATTCAGCCTTAGAACCAGGAATTCTCATCTGGTCCATCGACTAGATGAGAATTCCCAATGCTAGTCGAGTCAACTTGTATACCGTGTACAAAAAATGATAAGATTTTCAATATTAACTTTATTTGCTGTTAACAATACAACATAATTTACGTGCAAAATGAAAAACGTACTGGATACTTTGAATAGTAACAACTTCAGATTGTATAAAATATAGAAAGACTGAGGAACTATTGAATAACGTTTTCGATTGATATCTTATCACCCAATATGTGCAACGCATTCTGATTTATTACTTAAATTTTTGCAGCATAATCGTTACCTCAGTTTGGAAAAACAAGATGCGTGCTACGACGTCTTTAGTGCTGCGACTTTGAACTGAGTTTTTCGTGAAGAGCGTCTTCGTGTCGTCTGATATAAACTTCAGTTTGCCGCGCGAGGCTAATCTTACGTCGGAGAGGCTACTGGAAAATTATAAAGAAAGAGGGAGAAAAGGCCCGACGCACTCTGACCTGTTACTCGTGAAGATCTCCGAACGTACTGTGGGACAGCACCGGTAATTTCACAATGACAAATGTCGCCGTGAATGCATGTTCCAACACTCCCCTTTTATATTACATTACCATAAATGCATTTTATTTGTTCGCATGCAAATATGCATTATTTTTTTTCAAAATGTACTAGATAATATCATGAACATAATTACTTGTAGAATAATTATTTCTTCGCCAGTAATATTATTAATTGTCTGATGGTTACTTATATTCGGAGAAAGGCCAAGGACAAGGTCAAAAGAGATGGAAATAATTAATATAATTAAATTAAAAATTCCCCTAATTAAATATTATTAACCATATTTGTAGATCGAGCTTTTACATGTGTATACGACTTGTATACGAAACGAAAAGGCAGCCAAATGTAGTACTTGTACTTGATTGCACAGGAAAGTATAATACTTTCTCATAATTACCTATACAGCACACAAATGTTGAATCAACATCTCAGAAGCGTTCCACAGCATTGCAATATTGCATCAATGTTACGAAGTGTAGATTCAACGTTGAAAAGATATTGCGAAAGCGTCTAATGTCCGTTGAATTGTACTATCTTGTAAACATTACAATTCGTCGTAAACACCTCGGCCGAAAACCGAGCGCGGATTCCAAGAAATGACGTAGGCCGTAAACACCTCAGTCGAAAACAGTCTATTGTGTCTAAATCATTCGGCGCGGATCAGTCGAGCGAGGCGGATGCTCCGCGTGTCTTCGCGCCGATTCTCGTAACGCGATCATCTGCTACGCACGCGATCGTCTCTTACGCGAGTTATTGACATTTATCAATCGCGTTTAATTGCCGCGAACCGTAATCTTATTGTTCTGCGGTGATTCGTCGAGATGAATATCACGCGTAATTTGAAGAAGAAATACGATAAACTAAATTATATAAATTATTTTAATTTCGATAATCCACGGGCGATACCTTGTTTAATGATCGAACTCGGACGAATCTCTCTCATTTCGTGCTTTAAAATTTTCGTCGGTTCAAGTTAAACATTTATCACTTTCAGATTAAAAGCGCAAAGTAATATACGAGTCGCCGGGTAAAATGATAACGAAAACTTATATGGTATATCAATCGCTTATCAAAAAATAATCTTTTTAACATTTACAAATTGCGCGTATAACATAGTTTCCATTTTCAGTCAGTTTAAATCCTGATTCCATTGGACATCTGCGAAACTAACTCTAAAACTTTACTCTTCTGATAGAACAAATTTCGTGAAATGCTAGAAATAAATGTCTGTACGAACATTATAAATTCTTTTCAAATTCTGTGGGTTATACGGTTCTTTTTACAGATAAGAGTTGAATCATTTTTGCGTAAAATACAAATACTATAAGCCTTCACGATAACTTGGCAATATAAAATTAAAAATCACGAAAATGGCATTGTTAAATTCTCTATTGCATAATGGCCTTCAATTGTTCGTTACGCTAATTTACGAGACAGCAGACGATTACTTCGCGTCCCTTCGATTCACCCAAAAAAAGTATTCTATTTTTGAGTGGTTTCCTCTTGATTTTAGAGGATTTCTTTATTTTCATAAGGAAATCCTCTAAAATCAAGAGAGGGAACCACTCAAAAATATAATACTCTTCTTGGACCTTTTTTTCAGTGTTACGATGTATCTAATAAAATGCGATAAATATGAGAAATGTGCGGAATCGTCGTACTTTGTTATTCAGTTGTAATTAAATGTCATGATTGTAATTTAATATAATTTAACAAGTGAGTGTTGTGTGAGTGTTACCAAGAAGCAACGACGGAAGAGCAGATGAAGGGAGAAAGAACGGGTTTTGAGATAATCATGAATGGATAACGGCAGAACCACAAAAGGTAAGTGCGATATTTCATTTTATTTTATTGTTACGAAATTGATCGATGGACAATAAATGACAGATCGGTGGATAAATACCTGCATAGCCGCAGATATCTGAGGGCTGGTTCTAAATCCAAAAGAACGTTTTGTCTAGCCTTAGTGTCTGAGCAGAATGGCTGTCTTGTACTCTTAAGACATAAGACAGTTATTGTACGTTACTTCAAGACAAAGGCTTAAAACATGAAACATTGTCTTAAGGCTGTCTTAAGATAGTTGTTTCGCGACAGTAATGCTCAAAAGTTTATTCCAGACAGAAACCAGCACTCAATTATTACAATGAGATATCTTGATGCAATATTGTTTGAAAGAATACACTTACGATTAAAACATAATATAAAATAAATTCGAAAGTTTATAGTTTGAGGCGCAGTTGCCACATCTCTTACACTACACTCACGTCTACTACGTACATTATTCTTCCCATTTTTCAGTTTTAACTGTTTATACTGTTGAAACGGAACGGTCAATAATTTTTTTCCCTGTTATTCGTTCTATTTTACTTTATAACATAATAATATGTGTAAATAATATTTCACGTGTAATAATATTTTTAACGTGTTTTACGCGTAATACACATTTCGTGTAACATAGCAAACTTTAACTTTTTTTTTTAGAACTTTGAGAAGGTCAGTTTTAATTTAATTAGTCTTATTTTGCACGTATTGTAAAGAGTAAACTGTAAAAATTTGAAATAATTCTGACATAAATTATTTTACGAAATAACAACCTTAAGAGTATAAGACAGTCAACCTTAAGCAAAAACATAGCAACCTTAAGAGTATAAGACAGTCATTCTGCTCAGGCCTTTAGAATATCAGGAATTCCCATCAGGTCCATCGACTTCCTAATGCTAGTTGAGCTGAGTCAACTTGTATACCGTACACCACAAATGATATTTCCAACGTTAATTATGTTTCTCGAAAGGCATTAACAACGGCTTGCAAAATGAAAAATGTTTGGCTGTCTCGGTTGGAACGTAATACTTTAAGATTGTATCAAATATAGACAACTTGAGAAACTATTGAGACGCATTTGGTTGGAATCACATCAACGTGTACGACGTACATTGATTTATCACGCGCGCTATTATTATTGATAGAAAACAGACCCGACACTCAATAACATTCTTTAGAGATGACCTGTCACTTGTGAGACAATCTCCCGACGTACTGTCTGCTGGGGGGAACTTGAACAGCATCAGCATTCTCGCAATGTCGTCGCTTCGTTAATATATACGTGTCCCAATACTATTTTTATTGCATTAACAAATAATTTGTTAGCTCGCTCGTAAATTTGCATTATTTTTCTCAAGACACATTTGATCATATCACGAATGTAATTACTTGTATTCTTGTGTCAAGCCAAGGCCGATAAAAGACAGAAAGAGGCAATTAATACAATTGAATAAAAAATTCGTTTAATTTAATATATTACTAACCATTTTTTTGTTGCGTTAACTTTTCTATACAGAGCATCAAATTAATTTAAAACTTTGTTCGAGTAATGGCGAGATGTGCGATACTACGATGCACACCTTAACAGAAATGTACATACTGGTAATGAAAAAAAACACAGAATAATTATTAGAGTTCAATAATTGAATCCTTAGAAATAGAATAGAATTACTGATGTACGAAAATTTTCTAATTATTTCGCTGGCATTTCTGTAAGGGCACACAAGGGCGGGGGATGAGAAGTATACAATTGCCGCAATTCTGTGATCACGCTTATCTTTATTATTACATTACTTAAAAATATACTGAAAATAAACTCTCTTAAGACGATTGGTACTTTTGGCACAAGTTCGTCCGCTAAATGGCGACTCTTTTTATACACATGGGAATACACTGTAAATGTCGCGATACGAATAAATGTATGAATTACGTATTACAATCCGTCTCTTCAGACAAGCGAGACGTGCGTGAGGTATACACCTACTAATTCGCCAGAACGCGACTACCGTTCCAATCTTTACAAACACTCCGCGGACGTTACTCGTAAGATGCAAACGAATGTACAATCTGTCGAAATCGCGATTCTCACGTTCGTCATAGGAACATCGCTATACTACGACGATTTATTGACTCTGCACTGAGATACTTTGATCTAGAGCTCTAGTAAACCTTTGTAAAAGATATCCTCAAAATTCTTATTTCTTATCTATTGGCAACGAATTTTCACTTGACAAGTCGCTCGATAGTTTTCCTACAGTCCGTTCAGTTTTACGAAAAATTATACATTATTTGCCTTAGAGATCTCTAAATGTGTTTGGGATTAGAGTTTGAGTGATCGAGGAACAAATGCAAACCCTGTCATCCGTTTAATCAAAGACTCTCTATATATAAGCCACGCGAAACTTCCCTCGTAATGACTTATAATTGTGTACAATTGGACATGTGTTTTCCTCGAATTCTAACGAAATTGCCGGCTTCGTTTGTCAGAGCCGAAGGTTACGCAGATTCGCATTATTGTACTGGACAGTAGCGTCCCGTCATTTGGTCGTGTGGCGGGCCCAGGTCGTTCGCTGCATCTCGCTCATCAGGTCGTTGCGCGATGGTAGTCGAGCGCTCGTCGTGCGGGAGGGTGGCGGACCTGAGGATCGCAAGATGGTCGCCAGACCTTTCGGACTCTGCACATTACTCTTGTTGTCCTGCACGCCGTGAGCCATCGAACTCTGCTTCGTACTCGCTTTCTTCACCATATTGTTCGTGCGTCTACCCTGCGGTGGAGGGTCCAGAATTATCGGCGGTATCTCGGAAATATCCTGCGGATTCGACCGTTCCTGCCTGGCCTTGACGTCGGTCGGCGGATGAGTCGCGTTTCTGTCGTTGGTGCACGGCAAGGGCTTTATGAAAGCGTTGTCCGAAATGTCTGTCCCGTAGTTCTCGAGCTTGTGGGTCATGACGGGCGACGAGGAGAAACTGTTCGGTTGAGAGACTCGCAGGGACATGGAATTTGGGGACAGCTGGGCTGAATTCTGAAAAAGTTGCGAAAGGGAGACCTTTCAAAAATTAATGAAGCAGGATCGTAATTTGTGGCGTCGCGTATTACATCTTCTCCTTTGTCCGAACAGCAGTAAAAATTTAACCGGAACAACGCGTATGTCTAAAAGACATCTTTTAGATATGTATGTCTAAAAGATGACTTAACGAGGTCTTAAAGATGTCTTTTAGGCATGCGCGTTGTATGAGAAGCTACTTAAAACGAAGATGCTCGTGTGCATTGTCGAAAATACGAAAGCTACCGTTGGTCGAGAACTATTCCGGTCAGGATTTACTGGCAAAATTAAAACGCGTAAGTCAGATCTCGAAGGATTACTCACTGTCGGCCCGCTGCACGGAGGTAGAAGTAGACTCGGGCCCATCGCGTACGGCGACGGTGTATTGTAGGGCGATCTCTGGGGCTGAAACGGGCTCAGGTTGTGCAGCCTTTCCAGCAGTTGCGTTTGGAACTGCAACTGATCCGCGGCGGTGTTGTTACCCTGGATTCCCATGGCGCCGAGACCACCGGAATACAGCGATTCCGGCGGATACGTGCAGTACGGGAAGGTCGGCGGATCCAGCTCCCACGGCGAGCTCTGGCCCCCGGTCCGTTGACACTACCCAGAAGACGTAGTTTGGGGAACAAGATCTTTGAGGCCCGCACGATATAGAGATACAAAATTGTACCTCGTCTTTCTCTGTTTTATTACAGCTATTATATAATTATGTATATAATACTTGTTGTCATGCAAGGGATTCTTGATTCCTTAATCTAGAATCCAGAACAAGAAAGATACGTCAATATACAGCTCATTTGGATCTTGACACTTTCTGAATTGTAAACTTTTGAAAACCCCCAAAATAGATACTTTCCCGCTACAAAGCACGTTTTGAAATGTTTCGAGCTCTAGGCAGACTCGGTCCGCAAAGCACTGGAGATACAATCAAGGATCTCGCTGCGTATCTTACGTAATCTCAATTTCTTAAAATCTGGATATATCTAAATACGTGCGAATTCAAATGTGACTTGAGATATGAATCTTTGAATTCGATACGTATGAAGAAAATAACGAATCATCCGTATGTCTGAAACCCTCGACTCTGTACACCTTTGTTCTCTTACCGCTTTCTATTCTGGGATATTTTATTAGATATTTTGGAAGTGAGCCATCTTTCGATGTCCGGCTACGATCATTTACACCGATAGATTTTAGTAATGAGTGATAATATTACCTAGCATTCGTTGGCAGCGCGTACTCCGAAATCCCGTGCGAAGACCTGTTAGACAACACCGTCACACTGGTGCTTAATTTGTTATTAGATTAGTCGTAGTCTTAGCATGTGAAATTCATTTCATCGCAATCAGATACCTCGATGCAAATGCACGTGTAAGTAATCAAGAGACAAGGTATATATATAATATATGCAACGCACTGCGTCAAATCGCTCGCAGCGTACAAAACCCTTTCGCCCCCCGATTACTTTTTACCGGTGTTAGTACGGATTTCGTTCAGCGAGCTTTCTGATTGTTGTTTTGTAATTTTTGCGCCGTGAGGCTCGAGGCGCAAATGCTCGCGCAAAAAATGCAAATAGCCGAGGCTACGGCTGTTTTCGCCGTCGACGTCTCATCGGCACCAAACGAAAACGCCTAGAACATAGTGCGTGCACCACTAAGTCATCAGGTCGTAAAAGGAACATTCCGAGGTACGCACACATTTGCCGGTACAAAGTGTAAGGGGGGAGACGGAGGGAGGGGGTGCAAAACCAAAAATGTGTATAAAACGTTTTATTATAAAGTTAAAAAAAAGGAGAAATCAATACAAAAGACGTTAACGGTATTAAAAGAGAGAAGAACAGAGAGAAAAAGAGAGAGAGAGAGAGAGAGAGGGAGAAAGAGAGTAAAAAAAGGTAGTACAAAAATGCATTCTGTTAAACGTTAATCTAGATGCAACGCCGTTTTGGTCAGTCGGTGCTTCGATTTCCAAACTCCACCGGAGCACTCGTGTCATGGAATTCGGTAGAGCGTTACCTGGCCGAGGCCCGACAGGTCGGAAACCGCCGCGTTCTGTTGCATGGACGCGGGCGTCGGGATTTGCGACTGCGAGGTGACGTGACCACCGGAAACACGCTCCTGTTCCCTCAGGTGGCCCACCAGCGCACTTATATGTTCTAGCAATTCCTTATTCTGCACTAGAAGTTGGTGCGTCCTCGCCTGAAACGAGAAACAAATCGCGATCGTAAAGTAAAATCCCGATACAACTTTATTGCTTGTGCTCGAAACTACATTGGTAATTTTACAAGAACCAGAATAACCGTATTTCCTTTCTTAAGTGCCGAATAAGTAACCAAATTACTCCGTCACGTCACAATTTTGAGAAAATTGTAGTTAAAGTTGTAAAAATGGCTGTTTTAGTGTATTTTGGTATATTGTGAAATACCTTTTGATTGTGTTATTGAAATTTAAGGACTTTTTATTTTAGTGGTATTTTTACAGTGAAAGTACGCGGATAATACGGTCAAAGAACTTTTATCGGTCACACGACAGGAGGATAAAAAATAATTGTATCAAGTGTATAAATCGTTTTGCTTCTGTCGAATTAGGTTCGCCTCGACAAATTAAGACGCTCCGATAAATCAGGTTCGATTATACGGCGATAAATCACGGCGGAGGCAAGTGTTGGTGAAATATTTATGTGTTCTGGTAATTGATTCACTTATTTATACCTGCGCTTCGACGCGCGCTGCCGTTTCCGCCGCCAGTTGATCTTGAAGAAGTCGCGCATGGGCAACGGCAGCTCTGGTTTGTTGACTCTGCTGCTCCAAACGTTCACGCAGGAGCTGTATTTCGTGTTTCAGGGCTGTTAATTCGCCTCCCACCAATAAACCTCCGCACTCGGAGGTCACCGTGCCCTGTAAAAAGGAAAAGAGGGAAATAAATACACGGAATTCTGTAAATTATGTACATTACCGCGAATAACCGAGAGGTACTGACGAAAGAAAGAGCGCGCGCACTACGTAATCAGGCGTAAAAGTTACTCCAAAGTGTGCAGATTGAATTGTCCCGGAATCCATAGGAAAGTAAGACACTGTTGCGAAATGGGCGCAAAGAGACGTCGTGGAATTTACGACTCGTACCAGCGCGCGGCGGAGCTTGAAAAGCGGTAAACAATAACTGCCGTAAAGCAAGAGCAAGATAACGAGCCATTTTATTTTAAGGCTTTGACTTCATCGTAGCTGCCAAAGCCATTTCACAAAGTATCTTTCACTTGCGTAGTACAGAGGCTCGGTTAATGACGATTTTACTTTAAAATAGCCCACGCGGATCCGCTTCTATTTATACGCGTGTAATTGTCTCACCGACGGCGACTGTCTGATCGGTGAGGTAGAGGTTGTCGTCGCCGGTCCATCGTGCGATCGAAGTAGACAGGTAACGGATGTTTGCTCGGGAACCGAGTCCTCGGTATCCCCCAACAATGATATGTCTGAAACGCGAGAGGAAGAGACTGCCGTTATAAGTAAGATAAAACAGAAAATGGATTAAAGGAAAGAAATCTTTTGGGGCCTTTGACAAAACTCGGTTAGATTAACCGACGGTTAAAATTTGCAGGGAAGCCAACAGATTCTTTATGGACATGATTATCCTTCACTTTTATTTTCTGCATTTTCCGAGATCGATTAGTCCAACCGCGGTTGGTGAAAGAGGCCTTTGGGTGACTTTGGTAAAATTATTTCCGTCGCGAAATTATAAAATAAAACCGAACGAGAGACAAAATACGCGAGGGTGATCGGTTATGAAAGGCGACATTCACCTTTGTGTACCGGCGGCGGAGAAGGCTGAGATTGCTCGTTAGGAATTTCGTCTTGGTCCTCGTAAACATCACCGTAGTTTTCACCATGGTTCTCCCCGTCCTTCTCTCCTCGTTCCTCCGTAGTGTTGTTTATGCTTAACTTATGGCACACCTCGAAGGCTTGCCCAACCGTTCGGACTACCCTCATCGCTTGACTCTAATCAAATCAGATTCATTTTATTTCCTCGCGCGGTCCAATTGTCTATCGCGTGCCAATAATTAGTACGCAGAACAACATTATTATAATACGCATATGTAATAGCGAATTCGTTTGCTTGCACTAGTGCACACTAAGACCCAGTTTCATCAACGTTGTTCACCTTTAATCGTGGCTTAATTCACATTTGTCTCTTTCTAAAGTAACAGTTGGAAAGAGACAAAGAATAAATTAAGCTAGGCTTAAAGTTAAGCGACGTTGGTGAAATCAGGCTTTAGTGCGAGCAACCATGAATTCACTATAAGAAAAAAAAATTAAGATGTTAGAGCAATGAATGATAATATGAAGACATATCAGCGAGCTTCCTACGTCGGCCATTTCTCGACAACTCCGTTCAATCGCTCGGAAAGACACCGTTTTCCTCGAGCTCGATGAAGAACGCGATCGGAGGGAGACTTTTACCTCGAGCTCGTCGAGATCCTCGTTTTCCTCCTCAAACGGATTTTCGTCGAAGCTGAGGTCGATGCTATTCTGCGCGTGTATCAGTCTCGGCCGCGTCGACGGTTTGCGCATTTTCAGGCCGTTGAAGGTCTCCGGTTCCTTGAAGGAGAGCTTCTTGCGCGGCCTGGGTGTCGTTTCGAAGCCCAGGGGGCTGCTAGGACCGGGGCCGACCGGCGTTGTCGGCTCGGACGAGGCCATCGCCGTGCCTCGCAGGGAATTCTTCAGCATGGCTCACGATCGCCTCACGCGTCCGCTCCCAATTTTCACGCGTTCGCAGCCGCGGATGCTGTCATCCATCGCGCGATCCCTCTCGCGAGCTACATTTCTCTCCTTTTTTTTATTTAGATAATTCGTCACTTCGTGGCACAAAGGCGGATCGTTTACTTTGACGAGTTCCTTTGAACTTATTTCAGCCTGTCGAGGCCATAAAGAACGTAAACAACGTATAAAACTTTATATACCAGGTGATCCGAGCGAGCTAACGCGTATATGCAATTAAACGTCAAGGATCTTCTTCGCTTTTAAATCTCATGTAAAAAACCTAGAGACATTCCACCGCCTGTCGTGACCCAATTCAATAATTGACATTCCATCGGAATAAAATCTGCTCGAAATCAATTAAATAAAGAAGACGAAAAAAAAAGTTTTCATCGTCCGGTCTCTCAAAAGAGATTAATTCCCGTAGGTTAGAGATTAGTTCCGCCCTAGTAGAACAATATATTGGCGCAATATTGGAAAATAATGTAAATCTAGTATTCTCAATATTGGTCCAATATTATAAGAGGGACGCCTTCTCTTATTACGCCAATATGTCTATTTAGTCCAACGAAAGAAAAAAAGTCATATGAATTTTCAAAAATCAAAGGGGCCCCACCAAAGCACCCATACTAGTGCCAGTCGAATGTTCCACAAACATAAGATAAATATATAAGAATGACTTACGGAATATTCCAAATATTCTTGAAGAACATTCTTAAAATGTTCATAGCAGTGTCTTGTGCTGTCTGGGTATTGTAAGATGGACGCCTTCTCTTATTTAGCCAATATATCTACTTAGCAATATTGGTCTAACATTGCATAACTATTAGACCAATATTGTCATTACATTGTTAAATATTGACCAATGTACTTCCAATATAAATCTAATAATATATAATTATTATCGTGCAATATTTACATTTATTCCATGGCCAATATTGGCTTTACGTTGGACCAGTATCGGCCGATGCATTTCTACTACAACCAACATATTGGGCCAATATTTAGCCAATGTTCAGCCAATGCACTGTGCTAGGGCGAGATTATTTCAAATTTTTCGCGGAATTACTCAACCCTAAAGTATATTTATCCTTAACGTTTCGTTACATTAGTCGTATACGTCACGCTCTGCACAAACTAATAGTTTTTCAGGGAACTCTCGCGTTTCAGAGAACGATATCTTTGCACGCGAGATACGCGGTCTCTCAAGTGTTTCCCCATCGCGCGTCCCGTGTGGATATAATTGTGAAAACATAATCTTTTCGTATAAAATAACACGGCAGTCCATTAGGCGCGCGCGAGAACGTCAATATATGCGAAACGCGCGCGTATTCGACGCGATTTATATTAAAGCAAACGTTTGCGGATGTCTAAAGTGCATTATCCCTGGCACCGACCGCGTCGCAATGGTAATGGCGTTGCACCCCGACATTGACAATGCCCGGAGACAATCGTGGCCGCCGAAGCAAAAATCGCGCGACTCCGTCGCCGCCCGCGAGATTTCCGCGATTTTCGCGGGCGAAAATCTCGGCGCGGCGCCTCGGCCGCGCGTTCATCATTTATTTGCTTTACGTCCACGGATGCAAATCCGCGATATTACCGCGAGTTCGACGAATCGCCGTTGGCGAGTGCGTGATAACTGTCCGCGGGGATAGAGTTTTCAATTATAAATAATCGCCGCGGATCCAATCTGGCAGATTCCCCGCTAAATTTTGCGTAATTTGGAGACCGTCGCAGACTCACGTCGCCTCTCCTCGCCAAGAGTTGCGTATTTGTCGCGCATTTGTCGATTCTTTCGACGCGTCGGATTACGCGACAGACGACTCTGGCGTACAGCCCGTATCAGACTACGGATTGAGATTGAGATTAGATTGAAATTTGACCAATTAGAATAAAAGTTACTAAACTTGAGATTAGTAAACTTGCGATTGGTCAAATTTCCATCTAATCCCAATCTCAATCCGTAGCCTGATACGGGCTTAAGAGATTTCGCCCGGGGCTTCGAATTGAGAAGAGACAAAAGGCGGAAGATACGCGAAAAGCGATGTCCGATGCGGATCCTCACCGTATATTTTTCATCCAACTATCCTATTTAGATTATATATTACCAAAAGCCATTTTGCAAAAACTTCAAGTCGAGCTTTCAGATTGAAAGGAAAAATAGGAAATCTAGAGGCGAAAAGATTTGATGTTCATTAGCGAAATGCATGTATAATATGCCGTTTCCCTCTACTGCTTCTATGTACTTTGGGAAAAAAGACAGCAAACCATTTTGGGGCCCACACTTAGTAATCGAATTATTTGGATTGTTCGTAACACTTTAATCTTTTACGAATTTTACCCCGCGTAACTAAAAATCGCAATTAGCTATTCTATCTATAGGGTAAAGGCGAGCATTATGGCCAGGCGGGTAATATGGCCACAACGCCCGTATTAAATATTCTAAACATTGATAAACATCGATAATGTATAAAAACCAATTATTGTAACTATTCTTGAAGTTTGGTAACAAAAATCTCTCTATTTTGTTGTTATTTGTGGTTTGGTGCTTCATTGTTCTCCATAACCATCAAAATATACTATACACGTCAAAGTGAGACATGGCACTTCCAACTAACAATAAGTAAGATTTTCAAATTAAAACAAAATAATTTTGGCTTTTCTCATTACACATTTCAAAACCTGAACCTTGGCTATATTTTTATAATAAATTTATCGTGCTTTGCCCATTATTTTGATAATTATAATGCACATTATTAAATGTATGCTCGGCGGCTAATATGGCCAGCGACAAAGGTAGCTAATATGGCCAGCGAGTACAACAGAGTATAGAGTACGCCAGTGCTGAGAGTGATAACAGCGAAGAAAGAAAATAGTTATTTCTCACAATTTATTAATAAATTGTGAGAGCACGGCGTTACGTAGAGAGAGTGGACATACACATACACATTTCTTAAATGTGTACTCGTATGTTTAAAATATTTCAAAGTTTATGTTCTGTACGATTAAAGTAATACTTTACGATTAAAGTAAATACCTCACTTTTGCAAAATATTACTGTTTTGTACACTTTTTTTATAGTTGACCATATTATCCACCCCACGTTTAATATGGCCAAAACGCATACTTTCAGATTCTTTCTTTTTCTTCGAATATGGATAGATTTTAATTGATCAAAACATTTTGTCATCAAAGCTTATTAAATACACTAGAATTTCAGAAAGTTACAAAATAAAAAAACCAGCGGTTTGAAAATTATGACCTCAAATCAAAACTATGGCCATAATACCCGCCTTTACCCTATCCAAAATTTTTAAGTAACACTAATCAATTCTCTCCGTTAGTTCTGTCGATATTCAGACCAAAATGTTAAGCTGCTTAACTCCAAAAAAAACGATTAAAATTTTTCCCAGAGTAGAGTTACGAACAATCCAAATAATTTGGATTACTAATTGTGGGCCCCAAAATAGATTGCTAGCTGTCTCTTTTTCCCAGAGCATAACGATAAGAAAAGCGTTGAAAATAGAAATATGCGAGTCAAGGATTTTTTTATGTCGAGTCGAAGTTTATTTCCCTTTTCAAATACAAATCGACAAAATTTCACCCGAATCGAATGACGTAGTTCCTGATGTAAACTCTACACGTCTCACTTTCGTTTCTTTTATCATTCTGCAAACGTTACAGCGAATCGACGAAATCAGAGGACAGGGATACATAAACTGAGAGTCATTGCGAGAATGTTAACACGTCATTGTTGACCGGGCGTTTTGTGCAGAAACAAATTCGCGGCCGGCTATCTTACACTTGGGAACAAAATTTCGTTTATACAAAGGTCGGAAGAAAAGCAAACCAGACAAAAAGCAAAGAATCAAGAGACACGGTAGTGTCTCACGCCAAGTATAAGGCCCAGTTTCACCAGCGTTGTTTAACTTTAAGCTTAGCCTAATTCGTTCTTCGTCTCTTTCTAAAGTAACAGTCGGAAAGAGACGAAGAACGAATTAAACTGAGCTTTAAGTTAAGGGGATGCTGGAGTGATTCTGCACTTTCGCACCTTTTGCACTTAAAAC